CCATGGACTGCTAAGAGAACAAACAGGTCTGTCCTAGAGAGGGTGCTATGTGGAGGCAAGGATTTTGAAGCTCTGTCTTACATTCTTTGGGCATGTTGCCAGGAGGGACCAGTCCTTGGAGAAGGACATTATGTTTGGAAGTGTGGAGGGACAGCATAGGAGAGGAAAACTCTGGACAAGATGGATTGACTCAGTGACTGGGATAATGAGGGTAGGTGTATTGTAGACAATGAGATTGACTCAGGATAGAGCAGGGTTCAGAGCTACTGTATATAGGGTTGTTATGAGTCACAGGTGACTTGAGGGCACATAACAACAAATGAACAAAGGAGAGGGGTAAGACAAAGTTATTAATGGGAGAAGGGGGAAAGGAAGGCTTTCTGTTAGGAAATAACGTCAGAGAGAGGAAGAGCACAGGGAAAAGTCTCTAGCAGCACTCTGCTCTATTTGAGTTTACTCTGTTGATAGGGAGCTGCTGAAGGGGTTTGAATAGTACAACAGATCCTGAACTGCAAAGTACAGGAGTAGTTGCAGGTGGCCATGGCTAGAGAGGGGCAGTCCACCAAGTGGGCAGAGGATGCCTGTGAGCAAGGTGAACAGAGGTATTAAAGAGATCAGCCCATGTGTGACATGGGCGGAAGGATGAATATACTTTCCAGGATGCCTAGAGAAATGGCCAAAGTGGGTAGGATAGGCCCAGGGTTGGGAGAAGTGTATTTCCTTACTCACTACCTCCTCTAACCAGCTATCATGCTGGCTAGGCATTTAACAACTTTAATCCTCAATTTTCATGTTTGCTAAATGGCACAATAAGGCCTCCCTAAAAGTATCAACGTGAGTGTTGAGTGTGTAATAACAGAGATCAAGACTCAGGTAAGATGCTAGGTACTTTGCATATACCTGTTGCAGTGCTTGTAAACCCTTACAGAGAATTGGCAAAGCATGGGTACCAGTTATCATTATTCATGATAAAGGATATGAAAAGTGTTAGGAAGATTAAGGACTGCCCAGTGGCAGAACCTGGATTCCCCATCCAGGGCATCCCCCTTCAGAGTTGCCTCCACATTTTTATTTCAATGAGTGACAAATCTAAGGATTGGACCCTTCTCATTTTAATTACCAAAAGGCAGCACGGAATGACAAAGCAAAATACTACAATGAAATGTGTGAGGAGCTAGAGTCGCAAAATCAAAAGGGCCGAACTCG